AATTACGACCAGTTCCCGACCACCAGCCAGCCGGACTGCTTCGTGCCTCTCCAGGATGGTACGGTGTGCCTGTACAACCAGGCTACGGCGGACATCCTCTTCGACCAGATCTCCTCGTACGGCCCGCGGGGCTACTCCGACATGCTGTGCGCGCTCACGCTCATAATCCTGACGTTCTACTTCGTGACCTCGTCGGATTCTGGATCGTTCGTGGTGGACATCCTTTCCTCCAACGGCCACCCAGACCCCCCGGTGTTTCAGCGCGTCTTCTGGTCCTTCACAGAAGGGGCCACCGCCATTGCCTTGCTATACTCTGGCAACAACGCGAAAGATCCAGACGCTGCACTTAAGGCCCTCCAGTCGGCGTCCATCATCACGGGCCTGCCCTACACATTTGTCATGTTCTGGTGCTCGCAGTCGCTCGTGATCTTGTGCCAGGAGGAGAACGGTGGGCTCGACCCTAACCGGAAGGCCTTCTCAACGTTCATCTTCAACGCGAAGAATATCATTCTTCACTTGAAGAACACGGCCGTGCCAGGCTTAACCATGGGCAGGGCTGTGGTGCACGTCGGCAAATGGCCTTTCTCTGGCTTCGGTCCAGCCGCTACGATGGGATTGTGGACGGGCGCCTTCTCTTTGCTGTACTACATGGCAATCATTCTCACCATCTGCACTGCGGCCCTGTACCAATGGGCGCTCGTCGGCTGCGCGTTCTACATCGGCTTCGGTACCTTCGTTGGCCTGCTCCGAAACCACATGCGCGTGAAGCACTTCATCGAGCATGGCGACATCGCCACGGACCTTCTCTGCGGCATATTCGCGCCCATGTTCACCCTCTCCCAGATCGAGGCGCAGTTCACGGTGCCGATCGAGAACAAGAAGAAGAATGACGACTTGGAGGTGAAGGAAGCCAACGAGAATACTATCTGATCCACCAGGGCGGACGAGGTGGCGCCGGGACGACCGGCCCCGTAAGGAGGGGAAGAGGGGGGGAAGATCATCGGTAATCGTGAGGGCTTCGATTGCAGAGCCGGCTGGGGAGACTTTTCAATGTTAGGTCGGGTCTGTCCCTCTACAGGGGGAATATTCGAAAAAAATAGCAGAAACATTGTCTGGGCATTATTCTTTAACCATTTTTGAACATTTTTGGGGCATCTTTGGGGTATTCTTAATTTGTCGCCCAAAATTCCCCTGTAGGGGGACAGGCCCGACCAAAGTTTAATGGCACGGCACCCCAAGCCGACAACCCGCTGTTGCTGTGTGCCACCAAGCTTTGTGTTGTAAATACGATCTTCCCCAAAGCTGTGCGCGTGACGCCCAATACTCTACGTATACCGGTGCGTGCGAGCGCGGCGCGGCTGCGGCGCCCACAACCATCTCGGCGGTCTTCGCTGGGAAGGAGAAGCTATGGAGATTACAGGAGAGTGGAACCCACTTTCCCACGTACATTCCGGCAATGTGGCACCTCGTGCCGATATTTTGTGTCAGTAGGCTGGGGACCGTAAAACGGATTCCCCTACACGCCGGTCGTTGAAAGTAGGTATTTTTGGATTCCCACATCCCAATATACTTCAAGCGCCTTCCTACTTCAAGAGTCGGCTCGCTGTTGCTGTGTTTCGTTTCTCTCTGGGAGGGCCCGGACCCAATCCACTGTATCCGCCTTCCTACTTCATGTTTTTACCTACTTCTTCCGACCGACGTGTAGTATGCCGCTTTGGGCACCTAATACCAGTTCTAGATTGGTCCCCGCTGCAATTGTCGGGCGATCCCCGCCCGAGTTTCAAGGAGCGCCGACGGGCACCACCTTCCTCCCTCCCTCCCTCCCTCCTGGGGTCCCCTCCTTCTCGCCTCCCGCCTTCCCCGTCAGAGAACAATACTTTTCAGTACTTCTGTAAAGTAGTTTGCAGACGGGTGCTGCGCGAACGAAAAAAAACATATGATTTTGAACCTTGAAACCTGCAACGCTTTCAGACATGGAGGGCGGCACGTGCTCACAATGTGCTCTCGCCGTAGCGCTGCGCGCAATCACCGTAAAGGTTTGCAGCAGCTTGAAGGTTTGAAGGCAGTTCTTCTTCAACATGTGGGTCTCGCTTCAGCGCCGTTCACAGCAGTTTCTAGAATGGAGGGAGGCCTCTTTTCAACATGTGGCTCTCGCCTCAGCGACGCACGCATTCGTTTTCGTATTCGTATGGTTGACGTCCCAAAGGTTTTGTTCTGGCACACCTTGGGATTGCCAGGATGCAGCAGTCACTTGTGTTCGCTCTGTTGAAGTTCCAGAAACGGTGTTCTGGCGCGACTTAGGATTGTCAGGACGCGACCGTCACATTGATTTACGGCATTGAGGTCCCAGGAGTGACGTTTTGGCACGATTCAGGATTCTCAGACGGATGCCTTCCAATGAGGCAGTTTCCATGATGAACATAGATGCCGAAGGCCTTACGGCCGGTGCCGCCGATCCTGAAGGTGGGCGAGGAAAGAGGACGACGGCCACGACGATGACGACGCTCGCGACACCACGTGGGGGACCTTGTGGGCCCTGTTTGCCTCGGGACCCCCCGGACCTCCTCCTGGGTTCGC